AGCAGACAAAATGAAAACAAAACGCGTCTGCAACACCAATGCTTACGCCTTATTCTCCGCGAATACTGCAAAACATGCGCTCTGATGATGACCAGTAAGTGTGCGCCCAAAACAAAAAAAAAAAACGGAGCTTAACCCAACTGGATTTTAAGGATGGTGTATTTGAAAGTTTGAGAATCTAATTTGTTTTGGACGTATTCATTCAAAGTATTTTTTGATGAGGATGACTTCTTGAAGAGTCGTCAACACTGACACCAACAGTAAACCTAACTGGGAATTAATACGTATTTTCAATGCAGTATGTATGGATTATTCCAACACCTCATGAGCTTATTCCGGATGATAGAAGAAATATGCACCAATATGTACATCATGTTGTGGAATGTTATTTTAGCAGCCATTGCCTGACTGAATCCGCTGACCAAAAATGTAACCTTACTAACTTAGGTAACATTTGAAACATGCTGTATATGACGTCAATGGCATATGGTCTACTGACAACAACTGCTGAGTCAGGAGAACACCAGGGTGTAATGACAGGGGGTGATGTTTTTTTTTTTAATAATTACTCTCTTTATAACACACTTTTTTTTTTTTTTTTTAAATTGCATACACTTCAAGAGATTAGTCGTAAAAAGTGCTGCGTAAAACTAAATCTGGAAACAAAATATAACGACTTCACAGGATCACGTTTAGCGTGCGCAAACCTGCATTCCATTTCGTTAAATCAACGTTTTATAGTTAAATGAGCAGGCTGCAATAGCTAAAAGATCTCATCGAGTTTTATATGAGCTCAATAAAATCTTATCCCAACTGTCCTTTTATGTGAGCTGTAATCAAAACAAACACCTGATCAAAACAAACTTGGCATTTATGTTAAGCAATCTCACACACAAACACCAAAATCAATATTTATCCGTAATGAGCTGAAGTTAGTCAAATATTTTGCAGCTTGATATCATAAGGTCATGGCCATGATGCTCATACTGCAGGGATACGTTCAATTACCTTCACTGTCAGTTTACAGTAAAAGGTGGACCAAAAGTTCATTCTCAATTAAATACTGTTAATAAATACAAGAAAGCTCAGCCACTGTGTACAGTACAGCCTCAGCTTTGGTCTTTGATTAGTCCATTATTAGTTATATTGAGGCTACGAGTTTCTTTTTCTGCTGCTTGTACATCATGTACTGTAAAAAGACATCAGTGAAACTTTGTTGTGAACTCGCACCAGTCAACCGCCAAATCCTTTTTGAAATTGTCAGTGTTTACGACAATGGGCAATGTGCTGAAATTATACGGCTCTGTGTCACTTCAGAGTAACGCAGCACAGATTAGCATCTACGTTACAGCAGGTGAAGATGTGTTTAAACTGATGTCTCACTGTCTTAAGTCCAAGACGATTAAAAGAAGCAGGCTTTGGAGCGGCTGTAAATACTGCATGTCGTGACAGCGTCATAATCCTCGTCGAGTATAGCTCAGCTCAAGCTGCGGCCTTTCCATGAAAAATATATTATGTTTCAAACAAGTTCTTCACAATAAAAGTTCCAGCTTTAAATATCAATGACAGACTTTTATTGTGAATCAGCTAATGCTGTATTTTCAGCCGTAGCAAATTTACACAACTCAAGACGTCTGAGAGGTGAACACAGTAACTTATAACAATATCTTTCTAAATGAAGCTCACTTTCTAGCAGAAACATTTATTATTGGGATGACTCTCCTCTTATACACTCATGCACTTTTAATGCCTTGATGATCATATTGTATGTGATTACATTATGCTGCCATTTAAAAGAAATTGTCCAGTAAAAAAACAAAAAACAGAAAGAGTGATTGGTAGATTTCTGAATCTACCAATCATTGGGCAGGAAGGCGAAAGAGTTAATGTGTAACCCCGTTGCGAAATGACACCTGGTGCTCAGAGTGTGAGCACCCAGCGAGATTCAAATCTTCTAACAGCCTGTAGGCCTCATTTTAATCGACTGGGAGAAAAAAAAAAGATCAATACAGCAATATAATGGCTGCTCAATAAAAGTGCTCTTAGTCTAGTTTACGGCAGGAGACGTACATCTGTCATCTGTCAGACTTTGGAGTGTCTCTACCTACAACAGACGACAGATTGACATGAAGCTGTGCAGTGTTTGTGACTCCCTCTGGATGCTTTCTAATGGTTAATATGACCTCTGTTAACCCCCAGTTTCTTTATTTTTTTTAATCAAAACTAGCAAAATGACGACAGTCGCCTGAGGTAATGATTTCAGATAATTGCTGTCACTGAAGCTTCCTTTGATCGGATTGTTCAGATACAAGCCTTTTACACATGCTCCACAATGAATTTCATACCGCTTTGTGCTCTAGTTTGCATTGAAGTTTGTAAAACACAAACATAGAGGACAATAACATTTGCCAAATCTCTTTTTAAAACGAAAACATTTTCTGCTTAAACCTGTTTGAATCATTCGAAAGCAAAGATATGGGACGTTTTACGGCTTATTAAAATATTTCTACAATCTTGTCCTGTGATCTATAGGAATATCTTTGCATGTTTGGACATGAGAGAACGCTGTGTAAACATGTGTTTAGTTCACCTGTTTGCTAAGGATTTGTATGGAGTTTCTGGGTTTTAGATGTGGTGAATCGTCCACAAAGGCCTGAGCAGCGGGCGTCTTTATTGCCAAGGATGTGACTAACCGCTCATTTGTCATACAGCCTAAACCAACAGAAGAAACAAAGGTCTACAAATTCTTTCAAACACGATCAAAGTCGACTAACCTGCTTTTTTAAAAACAATGCAATGATTGTTCCCTACGGTGAGCTCATGTCAAGGATCGGTTCCTCATTTCTGTCCGCTTCATTGTTGTCACACCTGACACCTAAAAACCCTGCCGTGAAAACTCTTTAATCGGAAGCGTGGATGCATCTTTTTTTTCTGCAACGCGGGGGTGTGAATGTGTGTGGGGTTTTCCATTTCACACAGCAAACCCATTTCCACTCTCCCAGCTCCCCATTTTAATGATAGGCATTAACAACGCGGCTCGCTCAGATCTCCAATTTTTTACGCGAGAATGTGCAGAACGGACTCCGTTCGACCTCCCTCATCCTCCTTTCCCTTCATGTGTCTTTTTTTTCTTTTTCTTCATTTCATCCGCTGACTAATCCTCCACCCTCCTCACCCTCCCGCAGAGCTGTGGATGACCAGGCTGTTGTCGTTTTATCCGAGGGGGGGGAATTGGCAGATGCACCTCCTAAATTAGAAGAGGCAGAGAGGGATCCCAGAGCTTCCGTATCAAACCTCAGACCTCGCCACCAGACCAGCGGCGGCAGAATCTCGGGTGACACCGGGGCTCGCCGTCCAAGCTGGCCGCAAACCTCAGAGAGAGTAACTCCAACTAATCTCATCCAATTATACTGCGAAACGAACCACAGTTTATACTTAAATAGTGCCAGAAATTAGATATAATACTCAGGGGGGAGAACCCTGTTTGACAAAAAAACCACAGAAGAGTTTTTTTGAGCTTGCAGAACATTTTTTTATGACATTAAAATGATGTTAAAGCCGCGAGCAACAACCCTACATATTTATCAGATAGTTTTGGAAGCGAGGAAACCAAACCGCCTCCTTGAAATGCAGATTTGCATTTCTACCACAAAACACCACCAACGCAGAAGGTGGATGGCGCTCCTTTTAGTCCAGGAGCTACACCGACCCTGTTCAGCTGTTCCGCTGAATGTAAATGTGGTTGTTTCGGTGTCTCCGCGTCACTTGGGGTTTTCACAAGAGGTGACAGGTGGAATTAGGGAACGGGGCCAAAGGTTAAGTGAAGGAGCAGGAACTACTCTGTTACCCATGAGTGCTTGGGAAACATCACTAAAACGTTCATGAAGAAGGGGAAGCGGCTCAAAGCGGCGGTGGTGGCGGCGGCAGCAGCGACGTTTACTACTACAGCTCACTCTCTGTCAGGGAACGGAAGATGCAGTTCGCATGTAAATACCCGACTCCTCCACCCTCCCTCCCTCATCTCTCTCTCTCTCTCTCCCTATCATGTAGAGCAGCTTGAACGCCCATCCTCTCTCACTCTACCACAGCAGAGAGAGGAAGGAGGAGGATTGGAGAAGCCGGAGACTGGAGAGACCGGACTGACTGGATTCTTCAGTGGTGACACCATTGGTAGATACTCATCATCACCTGCAGCTCCAAGTCCACATTTTTACAGTTTACCCCGAAACTCCCCCACCTTTAGCTGGATTCTTGTTAACAGAAAACAACAACAAAAAAACAGTATGCTCCCTGCAGGGTGCGGGGCAGAAAAGGGTGTTTAATTTGGTGCTACAGGTGCCTCGGAGGCCTCAGGTGCAGCGTGAGGGTTTACAGGGTAACAGATATGGAGAGATATGTATGCTCCTTCGCCTGTGTGACTGGTTTATGAGCAGCCGTGGATGAATGGACTGCTGTATTGTTGCTTTAAGCAGCCCCAGGAGTCCCTGAAGGCAGATTAGCTCTAATATTACAGTGGGAAGACAAACCTCTGATTGTAATGACGAGCTTTTTTTTTTTTACTGCCATTTTATATTCTACTCTGTAGACCGAGAGTCCCTGCAGAACTCTTTGATGGAAGAATAATGAAACCCCGCTGTGATGGTGCACTGTGGGGAACTGTGCGCACTCACTCCATACTGTACTTTCTTCCTGAAATGCATTATACTGTAGTGATTTTTTAGTTTCAGAGAGGATAGGAAAGCCGGAGTGACCCACAGGATGCTGCATTTTTATTACTGACAGACATGGAGGTAATGTTGAGGACGGAGGGGGTCGATACGGATCAATACCACTGTAGTGTAATACAGGTAAAATACCCATCAGAGGAGATCAGTCTCTGAATATGAGTATTCAATCGCTTTAAATGCTTTCAGGAGGATATGAATGAAAATATGTCACAGTGAGACTGTTATGTAAAAGATCTAGGAATGGATTTATGGTCTGAGAAGAGAAGTTCCTACCTGGACCGGGTGTGAGCTGCGCGGTTCCCCAGCTCAGAGCGCTCCAGCCCGGCTATAGGCTCCGCTCCTCCTCGGTACCCAGGCGGAGCCGCACCAAACCTCCGAAAAAAAAAAAAACCCCGAAATTAACAATCCACGCCGTTGGGGGGGGGGGGGGGGAGACCTCAGATTAAAGACAAAAAAATCCAGTCGGACAGACAGGGGTTATTATTCCTCCAAATCCTCTCTCAATGTCTATCCAGTTTTTACTGTCGTGACCAGCGCTGCGCGTCAACCCGGAGGTCCTTTCCTCTCTCCGGGGGGAACGGTTACTGGAGCCCAGCTAGGGGGACGACCCGTCCGGACTGGGGTCACTCACTTCAACTCCGTGAATGGGGTTAGGTGAGAGCTAGAAAGAGCATCCTCCGTTGATTGGCACGTTTGTGGTGTTTTCTTTGGGTTTTTTTTTTTAGGGGTGGAGATGGTAGTGGTGATGTACAGGGGTAGGGATGAAAAACGCTTTAAAAAAAATTCAACCCAAGCAATAAACACTGTGTCCGGTAGGTCCGGGAGTTATCAATAGCGGTCGTCCCGGTTAGTTTCCACCCCGACGCGCAGTCACCGTTATGCCGCCTCAAACTCTGTCCGCCTCCCGGTCCAGCACGGAGCAGGTCGCGCGGCTGCACTGTGTGTGATGAGAAAGTGGAGTGATTCCAAACGACTGCGCTCGCGCTTCCTTCTCTCTCTCTCGCTCTCTCTCTCTCTCTCTCTCTCTCTCTCTCTCTCGGTCTCTACCAAGCTGTCTCCCCCTTCCTCCCCTCTCCCTCCACTATACACTCTCCCCATGCACTACACCGGGGGGGGAGGGAGGCGGAGCGAGCATCCACCCCCAACAACACACTCTTCATGGGTTTCCCAACATTTTAACATTTTCTGCATTATTTATTTATTTTTTTAACAAAGAAAATTCGACTCTTTATAACGGACTTTTTAAAACGTCCACATTTGGTCCCTTTTCCTTTGAAAACCGCTGCAAAGTTTGCGAGCATCCACCCCCAACAACACACTCTTCATGGGTTTCCCAACATTTTAACATTTTCTGCATTATTTATTTATTTTTTTAACAAAGAAAATTCGACTCTTTATAACGGACTTTTTAAAACGTCCACATTTGGTCCCTTTTCCTTTGAAACCGCTGCAAAGTTTGCTGCGATTCACAGGTGTAGTCTCCGTCACGTAGACAATTCAATAAACTGAGTGTAAGTGCGTTTAAAGGCTTGACAAACACTTTGATGTGAACCGCCAAATTTCAACTGTATGGTTCGTTTTCCTCCCTTTCCTGCCATGTACCATTAACTAATGTTTCGATGCCTTTAGCCTACCTCTTTCTTTTTTTTTTCTTCTGTCTATCTCTCCCCTTCCTTCATGTTTCTACCTCTCTCACAGCTCCGTCCTGACACAGAGAGGCGGGAAGCAGCCGTCTCTCGCGCTCCGAGCGCCACCTACAGGCGAGAAGCGGCAGAGTCAGAGAGCTGGAGCTCAGTAAGAGACATAGAGAGGAGGCTTTCCCCGCCACTGAGGAGCAGAAGACAGCAGGCGAAACAGAACAAAATGGAGTCTATACTGTAAAATAAACTGATAAATGTACTCGACATAATGGCTGCAGAACAACAGTGCCTATGTGAGCACAAGGCAGCATGTGGTGGAGGGAGGCTGTTATCCAAAGCAGCTTACTGTACTGTGATATTACACAAAACACATATGGATTATGTTTTTGCATATGGCTGCCTCAGTTTCAGAGCATCCGCTTAGCGAACTAATCCAAATGCATCAATCAAAAAGTATTAAAAAAGCAGTCTTTAAAGTTAATTTATCCATATTTGGGGACAGCCATTACTGTAACACTGCAAAATCCCTCTCTGTTCATGAGTACGTTTAAAAAAAAGAGTTTTCTAGAAAACATTAGGCTACTACATAGGCCTAAATAAAGCCCTTGTATCACATCAAAGGATACCACTTGGAACAATATTTGACTTGAAATACACTAATTTAAGGAAAAAGCCGAATGGCACATTGATTGAGGTCTAAAGTTGTCAAAATTAGTGTTTATCTACACAGTCTGGTTGAAGAAGGAGAAGTAATAGGCTAACAAAAGTCACAATTTCCTTTACTGTATAGGCCACTCAAGTAAGTGTAGTTATCTCCACAACTGTGGAAGGCCTATGTTTTTAAGTAACCTACAAAATGATTTAAACATTTACTACAAAAATGCATAAATTATGTAATAAAATAAGATTACCTGTTTGTTAAGTGAAGCAAAGCTATGGGTTAGCCGTCTCTGGACTAAAGTTAGGCTACATTTGGAGTTGTCTGAATGACCCAACAGCAGCCTATATGCTATCAAGTTATTGCTTATACTGTCTGACTATCTGAGCTGTGCGGTAGTGGACTGGTGGTAAGCACTCGGCGGAAACCACTCACGTTAAAAAATTGAGTTTGTTTAGAACATTTGCATTTGCTTTTCAGCGTTTCTGAATTTTCAGTCATTTCAGCCTTTGCCGAACGTTTGCACCTGTCAGCCACCGTCAAGATGATCTAAACTAGAATACAAATTGTATGTAGGCTTGGCAAGTACAGATATGATACATTTCTCTGGCTTCCAAACTTCCTACATTTTAGAAACATTAATGTTGGGTGGTGGATTTGTTTTAATTTTCCTCGACATTTCTCCGCAGTATTTACTGCTGCTCCTTTTACTGCCATACTAATCAAGGTCTCTGCAAATAACAGTTTGTACTTCTTGCTAATTACAGAGAGAGCAAGATCACAGGAATGGGAGGGTTGATGAGCATAGCTGTGGCACATGCGCCTGGATTCACACGCCCTTTTATTCACCACCACATTCCTCATCAAAAACGTGACAGCAGCAGATGCAGTGGCTCACTCAGCTGCTAAGGATAGAAATGGATGAATAGTATGAGATCATGAGATTCTGAATAATGGTCAACAGTGATTTTGTTTCCACTAGTGTGCCCCTTAAGGGGGGTTCAAATACAGGCCTTTGTTCAGTGTAAAATAACGAATGAGATCCTGAATTCAATGAATTCTTTGGGTTGTTTCCTCATGAATATACATGTCACCTAAATGAACACCATCTGTGCCATTGAAAAAAAAAAGCACAGAAATAACCTGCAAATGTGATTTTATTTAAAGTAAATGATCACACATACCGGTCACTGTTGTTTTTCTACATTAAACCCCCCCCCCACCCACCCACCTTTCTAGCACCCACGGTGAGTTTAAATAAAGCAGCCAACAGTGCTGTCAATACCGTTTAGTCCCTGTCTGTTTTCTCGATTTGTTTTTCCCCACGTCTTCCTGAAGACATGCCTCGGCAGGTTCGTCTCCAGAGGAGTTCAGCCTCTGTGGTCGACTCTGTTTCCCAGCATCCCTCTCAGTAATTAACCCTGCGGACTGTGTGGACCCTGACTGATCAGCTGTAATATCCTTATCAATATTCTCTGGCGGTCCTCTGCAGCAGCTCAGCTCTGCTGCGCTCACATTCATAATCGTGGTTGTGAAGTTAGATCGCAGAGTTAAAAGTTGTCTTTGCGCTAAAGCGACTGCAGAGGTTATTCTGTTCATTATTTTGTTGTTTTTAGAATCAGAGTTACATGCTTGGACACGGTTTTTCAAATGTTTTTTGTCATTTATGTATGTTTATTTTAATAGATCAAGTGTTTATGACACTCGTTATTCCAACCAGTTTTCCCTGGTTGTTGACTTGATCTCATCCCAACATGCAAACTCTGTACTTCAGCATCAAGTTGCCAACATATACTCCAGTTGCAATGCATTAGTTTGAAAGTTGTGTGGATCATTAAGCACAAAAAGGAAAGTTCATATCCATATGTGGATCTAATGATGATTAAATGACCATCTCACAAACATTGCGAGTAGACCAACCCTGCATAATGTTGTTGTAATTCCACCTTAACCAATCTAAACCTTAATCTGAAATCAACATGCAGGTTTGCTTGTCATTAAGTATTTTAATCAGTAGAATCAAGACCTTAACTCAAGTAAACATCTTATATTGTTGATCACCAAGGTAAATTTTAGGAGTCCCATCAAACGAGTCTTTGGTGCTTGTAAACATTTATTTTCTTGACAAGAGAATGATACAAAAATATTATTTAAAATGATGCAAATCTAAACCAGCCTGTTAAAAACAATGTCACGATATAGTTTCAACTAAAACTGCATTTTCAAATTCAGAAAGTTTGTGATGGACATGGCATTTCGCTCATGTTTTGGTAGTGTCTACTTCCTCTACTTTTAGCGTTGTAAGTACCTAAAAGGATGGCATGAATTGTCTTGGTCTTTTTCTCTACTTCTTACCATTTTTTTATTCAATCAGGGAGAAAATATAACCCCCCCCCCGTCTTTATTTTATTTGTTGGTTCCTTGTTGCTGTCATTTGGAATTTGCAGCAACGAAAGCTGTCATACCTGCTGACAGTTGGACTAAAAGCAAAATCTGAACAGGAAACACACACACACGCACAAACACACACACATACGCACACACACAGTCTGACAGTTTATGAAATTAAACCAATTACTGCAACATACAAATAAAAGAATCATTATAATCCCCCACAGATAATCATCAAACAAAAATACGCTTATAAAAATTGGTTCTGCTTCATTGATTTAAAAAAGAGACTGTACAAGAGGAAGTAGTCCCAGAGAGGATTTCTCTTAAGAAAAAAAACATTCAATCAGAGTTTGAACAAAGTTAAACTGTATTAATCATCCAAGTGGTCCAAAGTGAAGGTGTCAAGGGGGCAGGGACAAATGGAAAGAAGCTGATAACAATATTAATTATTGAACTGAATTATTGAATTATTAATGTGCGGGGAATGAATGAGGCAATTCAATGGTACAATATATGGAAGTAAGGCAAAAAAATAAGGGCTGCAGATGAGGAATTTGACTCACAAATGACTCATTTGAAGGGAAGGTTATTAAAAATTTCCCTCCAGACACCTGCAGACTCAAAGGACCCGCCTGCGAAACTTTTTAATCTTCCTCCAAATGGCCAAAAATAAGTGGACACCCAAAATGTAATACACTACAGCTAAAAGCTGTATGTGACTCCATGTTCTGTAAACATGTACAGTGTATTGTCAATTTATAAACTCATGTTATATAAAACCTTGAAATAAAAATGTGTCCATCTTTTTTGGTTACTGTATAAGCCCCCTTTAGCCTCAACAGTTAGCTGCTTTAGCTAACGTCAATAAACATCAAACACTAACCCTAACAAAGAGTCCAACACAAGGGGCAAAAAGTTTCATCCAGTGAAGCCAGTCTTGCCAAATTGGAGCTGGGGAAAAATACGTTCAACATTGGCAGGGCGTGAGATTCAAGAGATTCAAGAGATTCAAGAGGGGCTTTTAGTTTCGGAAATCTACTGGGGAGCGTTCCTATGTTCCCACAGCCCTATGTTCCCACATTTCCTTTTTCATAAATTTGTATCAGTTAGGTGTGTGGGAACATAGGGCTGACCCCATCTACTTTTAGCTTGATTGTTAACGCAATCAAATTTCAGTAGGTAATGTCACTTTCTTTGTAGTCCATGTGCTGACTAAGTCAAAAACTTTGAGACGTTGCTATTTGCAAATGACTTTATAAGCTAACGTTCCAAAGCAACCAGGGCCAGATAATGCGTTGCAGCTAATTGTCTAACCTAAGTTTGTCCCTAAAGTTATCCCTA